GGAGCAAGGGAGACCCCTTCAGTAAGAAGTGCACCCATGCTGCCTTGGTTCAAAGGCCTGAATCCCTCTGTTAAATACTAGACACCAAGGAATGATTAAAATGATGGAGCAATCCACATTTATGAGTGCTTGCTCTGGGTCGGGCACTATGCTTGGTACCTTAATTCATTACTGCCTTTATTCCCTATACCACATCTCCAAAGTGGGGATTATCAAACAAGGTGAAAGGGGTAGATAACTGGGATTTGAGGCAGAAACACATTGTGGGCTCCAAGTCATAGGTTACTGGGGGGCTTTGGTGGCTCTGTGCAGTAAGAAGACCTATCCCCAGTGCCCTGCCCGGGAGCCCTGCTGTATGTGGGCACCAGTGTGGATGCTGGGAGGGTAATGAATAAAGATTGCTTTCTCCTCTGGCTTCCTTTCTTTTATTTATTTTTTAACACTGTATGATAAATTTACTTCCTAATGATTTTTGAGTAAACTACAATGACCACAATTTCAAAATCATTAATAATTCATGACCAATGGCCATAAACGCTATATAATCTCTGCAGGCAGGAACCATGAATACTTGTTAGAGAGGAGGCTGAGAATAATTTTACCAGCTAAACCAAAATTGTCTACCGACTTCAAGCCAACCATCAAAGACATATTTTTTAGAAATGTCTGCAGCCCTTCCAAAGCCTTGCTCAAGCCGCCTCTTCCAGGAAGTCTCTTCTTCCTTGGACACCCCTGGGACTTTAATCTGGGCATTTCCTGGGTGGTCCCCAGGAAAGGGGGAGGTTTCAGGTTTCCTGCCCCACCCAAGGGAGGGTGGGGCTGAGCAGAGAGAAGAAGCTGCAGAGGAGACTGAGGAAGGAAGGAAGCAGGATGGAGAGCCAGAAGGAGACCTGGAGGAGGCACATGGAGCTGAGAGACACGTGAAGAAACTGCTCTTGCCTTTTGGTCGTGGACTGGGTGAAACAAATGTGGGTGATAGACCCGTGAGGAGGTGACAATGACGGTTTTTGTCTTGATGTTGATTTTGCTCTTTTCCTTCCAGACTTGTCTGGTTGTTTCTGACCCTTTTCTGTGGGTCCCCACTGGAAGATGCTTTAGACTTGTGGCAGGCTTTGGGAACTTGCTCTGGGCCAATCCCATTTGGATGGACTTTTACCCATGAAGGGTTGGGTAACTTTGGGTGCTTGATTTAGAAACTATATTCTTTGTCTTTTCTGTATTGTTTCCTAATTGTATTAAAGTTCCTTCCCATTAAAGTCTCATATGTTTTGTGTTGACGCGATGTGATGGATGGCAGAACCTATTTAGAGCAGGCAGGTTTGTGGGGTCTGGAGTGCCCCTCTCCCTGTCCTTTAACACTATGATGTCTGCCATTCTCTGATTTGTGCCTGTCTTGTCTGTTGAGAGGGATTGAGAACCGAGGTATCCTCGGGGCTGGTCATGCATAGGGCAAAGGGAATCCCCCTGGGGTGAGAGCTGGGGTGCCTAAAACATGTCAAACACCGGTTCTCATCCCTGGCGACACATTGGAATTGCTCTGGGAGATGAGGGGCGGGGTAAGAAACTCTGATGAGTAGCCTACTTCTTCTCTTTAGATCCCAATAAAAGACAGGGCAAGAATCTTTAAGAATAGGTAACCACTGGGCCTCCCTGGTGGTGCAGCGGGTTGAGTGCAGCGCTGTGAAGCTGTCCACAGCCTCTGCAGTACGGGTTCGATTCCCTGCTGGCCAGGGAGAAATCCACATGGTGTGGCAGACCTCTCCTGTCTCGCCCGCTGCTCCCCTCAGCAGTGTTTTCCATCTGTCTGCCTGTTCTGCTCCCTATTCTGTCTCTGGTAAATTCTCTCAATCTACCATGACTCTAGTCTGTACCCCAGTTCTTGTATAGATAAATAAATCTTTAAAATAAAAAAGAATAGTTAACCACAAATTTGTTATCATTTGTGTTTGTGACCAGAATCAATGCCATCTGTGTTACCTTCACTCCTTAATAAATCTACACCAAAGATATGGTCAGCAGTGCTCGCAACAGAACTTACTGAGGTGCCAGAAGTATTCTAACACTGGGGTCTAGTACTCACAGCTGCACAGATGTGTACATTTATAAAAACTAAAACCATACACTTAAAACAGGTGAATTTTATGGTATATAAATTATATAGCAGTAAAGTTGCTAAAAAGATAAAAAAAAAAAACAACACCAAACACCTCCGATGGGGTCACACCCTCAGGATTCTGATTTAACTGATTTGGAAGGAGGCCTGTATATGGGTGCATTTAAAAGCACACTAGAGTGGGTGATTCTAATACGCACTAAAGTGTGAACCACAGACATGAGGCATTCAGCACAAAACCTGGGACAACGTGGCTGCTGCTACCTGCCTACTGTCCAGCAGGTATAGGGGAGGGCAGGGTTGGCCACCTAGAGGGCCCCCGGGAAGAGGGGGCAGCCATCCTCAACAATACCCAGTGCCCATTGTTGTCTTATGGAAATAAGGACTAAGTACAGTCATCTCCCATTTTTGCAATGAAGCCAGATACCTGCACTTTCATGTAAAATCCTCCAATTTTTAAATGTGGACATCCAATTTCAAGATAGTGTTAGTAGGGTTTGGATCCAGGAGGACACATCGTTGGGCTGCATTTGGCCTGGCAAGCTCACTGAGTACAGCTTCCCATCCTCCCTTGGCCAGCTTGGCCAGTGGCCACCAACAGAAGTACCCAGCCCAGGCCATGGAAACCACACATGCCAAGGCATGCGCCGGCCCGTGCAACCTTGACACCCAGAGTACAGGACTCCAGCCCCTTCCTGCTGGTCCTAACCAGCCTGTCTTCCCTTTGCCTTTCATGGTGCCAAAGCTTGATCTACACCTGGCATCCTGTGTCAGGCGCAAGTGTCAGGAAATGCAGATTTCACAGAAGAGGGGGAGGGCCACAGAGAGAGGAGGGAGGTGGGTGGAAAAGGCATGTTATCATACATCAGGATGAGCGTGCTGGCAGCTTGCTATTAGTTTCTTTCTCTTGTTTTTCTAACCAAACAAAAGCTCTGTTAAGAGAGTCAGTACTCTCTTTTTTTCAGAGGGCCTGAAACAATCTTAAATATCTTTCAGGGTAAAACTTGGATATTGTGATAAACAACCCCTCTCTCTGTTCTCTCGCACTTCAAGCACTTTTCGGAAGAGTGATCTGACAGGCTCTGGGCGCTGAGCATGATGGGAGTAGCCAGAAAGCAGCAATTAGGGCAGCCCTGTTGCCAGGGAGAGAAGGGGAGGGGAGATGATCTCAACAGTTACCCACCGCCCTGCTTCCTGGCTTCCCAGTGAAGTTCTTAATGTAGGTAATTGGGATGCTGTTATATTGTGACCAAAGGATTCATTTTGGCTCGGGGGGGCTGCTCCCCATCTGGGTCTCTTAACCAAGAGACCTGCTTCCGTCCATGCTTGCTCCTGTGGCAGTTCCTGGGCCCCCAGGGCTCTGGAAGGATTGGCAGACACCAGGCCCCCGTCCTTGCCTCTGGAGTAAAGTCTTCACCAGGAAAGAGTGGGAAATCCACTAGAGTTCCGTCTCTGCGTGCCCACTGGGGCTGACATGAGATCTTGTCAGCAGCATCAAAGTTCCTAAGTTACCTCCTAGCCTCAGCCCAGGTAGGTTGACTAAGTAAGAAAATTGCGCTGGCTCCAGCAAAGAAGGGAGACCACTGGAAAGAGGACAGATGTCAGAGTGAAGAGTGAGACCCCAACCTGCCAACTCAGGGCCGGCAGAGGGTGAGCAAACAGAGCCTTGAGATGGAAAGAGAAAGACAGTCTTGTGGCCATTTTGGAGCCCCTGATCCAGCTGAGCTTGAGAAATTCCCCTTACAATCAGAGTGTCAGGATCTAAGTATTGATGAATTTCAGGTCTAGTGGATGTTGATGATGAACCACATGCCTTTCCATGCTTGTACCCATCTGCCACCAAATGAGATCCACATTTAAATTGCTAGGAGTTTGAGATTTGATCAAAGGGTCCTGTGGAAACTGACAGGTCCTTGCTACCACTTCCCACCTCGGGCTCAACGATCTGGCAACATATTCACATGTCTCTGACCTTGACCATGCTGCTTACTTGGTGGAAAATGTACCCACCCTTCAAGAGGAGACCTGCACATCTGCTTTCCTGCCACCGCTGGCGGAGTTAAGGGACCCGTTTTCTGCACTGAAATTCCACTTGCTTCGTCCTTCTCTTACCGCACTAGCTCCTGTCACATGGTATTGGGGTGCTCTGGTTGCACATCCCTTCCAGCTACACAGAGCACACACACCCTCAGGTCAAGGGACTGTGTGCCATGCACCCCTCAGTCCCAGCCCTGACCAGGTGGACTCAAGTGTGGTGGGTTTCAAGAATGGTCACAACATTTTCTAGCTCTTTCCATCAAGAGGTGAGGCCTATTTCATTCAGGTCACCCCTGATTCTGGGCTGACCTTGGGACTTGCTCTGAAGAAAAGAAAGTCGCAGAGATGACACAGTGCTAGTTGTGAGCCTTGGACTCAAGAGATCCTGCTCGTGAGCCCTTACCCCTCTATGTGAACACACCAGCAGCCTAGTGGGAGGATGAGAACACTGAAGAAGAGCTAACACACCCTAACTCATTCAGCCCGCCCCTAGGCTGCCAAGCAGTTAACAGCAGATGCCAGAGTGAGCCCAGCAGGGGGCAGCAGAAATGCCCAGGGACGTCCAGCGCAAATGACTGACCCACAGAATCACAAGCTAAGTGCAAGGTTGCTGTTTTAAGTCACTATTCATTACTCAGACAAAGTTAACTGGTACATTCAGAAAGATATCACAACATGGGCTGACCGCTCTGGCTACCAACCATCATTTGGTCAGAGATTCAAGCAGAGGACTCGGAGAGAAAAGAGTAGGAGACCCAGAAATACCTATTCACCTATTCACCTAATACCTCTCTCTGGGTCCCTGCAGAGAGAGCTGCCTCCACCCACCCCTCGCCAGGTACACATTTACCTCTTTCTTCTCCCGTGAGCAGGATCGGCTTCTCTCGGCCTTCCGCAGGGTCTGACCTGTACCAGTTCAAAAGCAGAAATAGAGATGAAGGCGGCTTTAAAACAACTAGTTGATCACCAGAAAAGCTTTTTATTTGCAAACTGAATAGAAAGGACCAATCATAATCAAATGATTTTAAGAAAATGTAGCCCATTATTATAATGGGAAAATGGCATACTCCTGAAATAGACGGACGTCAAGGAAATGGTAATTCACACACTCACATTATTTGACTATAATGAACAAAGCCTCGGCTCTTTAATCTGGAACATTATCTGCACTCTGCAAGGGCCGACAGACTATAGTTTTCTCACTCGAATTACATTTTTATTAAATTGTTTGGAATTATAGAAAATGCCTTCCACAAAAATGCCCTCCACTCTGTGCATACACACAGCCTTTGAAGCACGCATGCCAACACGCCACACCAAACCCCACACTCGCCACATAGGTGATGGCGCAGATGTGAATCAGTGGTAATCACCCGTGTTTCACATAATGGGCAATTTCAGGGAGAACTGTTGCTTTTCTCGGAAAACTAGAAGACTAACATTTCAAGGTATGCATAAATTCAACAGATCGACATCAAAATGTTACACATGTTATTCCAAAGGCAGTTCTCACAACTTCTATGGAAGTGGCCATTATTAAAGGATGCCTTGATGGAAAATTAATGGATCACCTTGTTTTAAAATACAAAATGGGAGTCATGGCACGTTGTCCATCTCCCAAATTGTCCAACTTCACTCCCAGGGGGCTATTTGTGAGAAGTCATGAACACGCGCTCTGAAGGGCAGGAGCAAAAAGGCTTGGAGGTGACTTAATGAGAGGCGGGAGGGGGTGGGCAGGCTGTCAGGGGACATTTGCCTTTGGATGTGGTCCTTTCCAGTGGGCTTACTCATGAGTGGGTCCAGGGGGGCTCACAGTGGGCCAAAAAAAAAAAACCCAAGACGCAAGGGGTTAAGACGCAATTTATGATGCTATTGCAGCCACTACAGCACAAGTTAGATCCCCCGGCCAGCCAGAGAGAAACCCACATGGCACAGCAGACCTCTCCTGTCTCGCCCACTGTTCCCCTCAGCAGTGTATTTCAGTCAGTCTGCCTGTTCTGCTCCCCACTCTGTCTCTGGCGAATCTTCTCACCCCTCCCAAATCTGGCCTGTGCCCCAGATCTTGTATGCAAGATCTTAAAAAAAAAATAAATCTTAAAAAAAAAAAAGTATCCCAGAAAAAAACCAAGAAAAGTGTGAATAAAGGGGAGTTTGGCAACAGTCAAACTTTGGGGCACAAACACAAAAGGGTCTGGAAAAGGGGGAGCTGGAGAATGGACAGGAAACCCTGGATTGTGCAGGGATATGGCAGAGGAGGCAGCTTCTGGGCTATCCACTGCCTGCTGCTCCCGTACTCTCCTCCCTACCTAGGCTGGAGGCCCCTGGCAGGTGGGACTGTGCGTGGTCCCATCCTCTGAACCTCAGGATGCGGCCCTGGGGACGGGCCCTTGACTGGCCACGGCCAATCAGGGCTTGGAATCGGTTCCAAGACAGAGAGGATAAAGGTATAGAGTGCCACGTGTGACATGTGATGCTGTGAGTGGCCCGGCCACCTGCTTTGGGGACAGACTAACAGAGATTGCCAAGGCAGAATGAACTGAGGTGACACCGACTGCCTCCTGCCTTAGCTACCCACTTAGACAATTCTGTGTGTGCGCACGTGCGTGTTTTCTTTCTTCTCTTTCCCCCTAAGACAAAGAAGCCAGGAAAATGTGCCCCCATGGTGCAGGATGCCCACATATGGGGAGGCTGTACACATGTGGGGCAGGAGGTATATGAGGCCTCTGTACTTTTTGCCATGAACCTAGAACTTCTCTAAAAAATAGTTTATTAATTAAAAAAAAAATCCCAGAATTTAGGGATTAGGTTATCTTGGTTAGTCGGGCCAATTTTCTCCTGCCCTCCTGATCCCTGAGGCTCTGAGGCAGGAGCTCTGTTGGACGGCTCCCAGAAGCCCTTGTCCCTCTTGCTCTGGTTGTCAGTCAAGGACCTCAGTGTAGGACCTGAGGTCAACCAGACAGGTTGGCTTATCAGGCGGCAGGCCATGCCACGCAGTCAGGAGCTGGGAAATAGGGCAGGAGCTGAGAGGGGACAGAGCAGGCTGGAGGCCGGGGCTGCTGTCAGAACAGGAAGTTCCAGTGGTGGTAGCAATGCTGAGGCGAAGAAGAGCCAGCAGGACCAAGCAGGACTAAGCTAGGGTGGGGTATAGGGGAAGCCGAGCAAGTCGGGGTGCACATGGCAGAGCCAGAGGCTATCAGACACACTCCTGGGGATTTGGCCCAGTGAACAGCTTCTTCTAGTCTTTCCTAAGTGACAGGCTGACTCACTTCTGGATTTGCTTTCTATCTCTAAAATTCTGTTACACCAGTAGAAAAACAATAAAAAGTAAATAATGAAGGTAGGCCATAAAAACAAAATATTAATACAAAAAACACAAAGCTTCACTACTAAAATTTGAAAGCAAATCTCCACTGGAGTTAATTAGGAGCTTCTTTACTCATTAAGTTGGAAAATAATTTGCTTATTTTCCAATGAAGATAATTTGCTCTAATTACATACATTTGTTAGCTAATGCTCCTGTCCTCACCCCCTGAGCCCCTCTCCCCTCCAGGCAGCTTGATGTGGAGCTGGTTGCTACTTGTCAAGGACAGGCAGAACCAGATTGCACTGCGCGCCTGTCTACTGCCCATAGCGTCCCGAGAACCTTCCTACCTGTATTTCATGTGATTCTCACAACTACTCAGGGAGGAGGGTGCAGAAGGGGATGTTAATATCAATGTAGGTTGCTTGCAAAATGAAGGGGGTGTTTCTCTACATTTTGCAAGGTGACCTGCCAGCTGCTGCCACGAGACAAAAAATAAGGCCAAATGTAAATGGCACGTGTGCACCTCACTTTATAAAGCAGATGTGTGCCTGGGGAAAAGGGGAAAAAAACTAAAGGAATGCATTGAATTTTTGTAAATATAATACTGTTCTCCCATTTATGATTTTAATTTTAGAGAGATTTTATCAGCACTTAGGATTTATTTTCAATGGTTAGGAGATTCTGACACTTTAGTTTTACTTTGCTTTAGATGCAGATAGTAATATTCCTCACTGCCATTTAGAGGGGAGTTGCCTCTTCCTGGGTGTTAGCTTCTTGAAGTCATCAGGCAAGAGAAAAGCAGCATCAAAATTGCCCTTAAAATAGAGCCTTAAACCATATAGTGCGGTCTACAGAACACCAGTTTTCACATCCACCACGGTAGACTAATATGCATGTGTACTATTTGGAGTACAAGGAAATGCACAGCATGTGATAAAAATGCATATGCAAAACAGAATTTTGTGAGATTTCTAATTAAACTATTCATATTATAATCACCCCCTCTATTTTTCCTTTTGGGCTAGAAAGAGAGTGGCTGGGTGGGGTGGAGGCAAGAGCCCCATGCTGAGTTCATGCAAGTTAAATGCTTGGCTGTTGCAACTCCACCATGCTGCACTCCTACTATGTGCCAGATTTTATACACAGGCATCATCTCCTGATCATCACAACCACACCTCTTAGTCAGGGGACAGAAAACTTTTGCTGTAAAGGGCCAGATAATACCTCTACTTTACAGGGCATCTGGTCATAACACGGTAAGATTTCTGGTGCAAATAATTCAACTCTGCCACCAAAGTGTGGAAGTAGTCACTGACAATATGTAAACAAATGGATGTGGCTGAGTACCAATAAAACTTTATTTACAAAAACGGGCAGTGGGCCAGATTTAGCCCTCAGGCTACACTTAGCTGACTTTGCTTTAGAGGGAGAGTACTGGTTCCACTGGTACAAACCAATGACAAAATGAGAAACAAACTGAAGGAGTGACTGAGCTATTTGTTCAAGGTCACAAGGTTCAAGGCTGTAAGTGGGAGGTCTTAGTATATTCCTAATCTTCATCATCACAGCGTTATCATTCCCATCACTGTTATCACCACCACTACCACCATTTTCATCACCATTGCCACATGACCTCACCCTACCCAGGGATTGCGCTGTACTGGACACTGGACTGCAGCCTAAGTACATAAATTGATTCATTTACTCTTCAAAACGCCCCTATGAAATAGCTACTACTTGAAAGGTCGATGCAGGAGGCCGGAATGCAAAAGCCCACCAGGAAGCCCACCTGGGGCCAGGAATGCGGAAGATCGCCTAGAAAATTCAGACAATAAACCTCTCCCTGCCCTACAAATCTTTTTGCGCCCTACAAACTTTTTCCCCCTGCCATACAAACCCAGTTTCCCACCTGACATCTTCTCACCCTATAAAAGCCTGCCTCCCTCTGGCAACATGCTCGACTTCACCAACCCCCAACTTGGGTCCATGAATTCCGCCTGGGGAATGCAAAAAATTTTCCCCTCCTTTGAGAAATTTAGCCTGTCTCTTCTTTTCTTTACCGCACCGTACCTTCCACTACTGTCATCCTACTTGTCAGATGAGGGCACTGAGACCCAAAGAGGCTACAGCAGGTTAGGTTAGGTTACACCCAAAAAGGTTGCTCAGTTAGTGAGTGGAGGAATCATTTTTAATTTTAATTTTAATCTGGTGACTTGGGGCCAGAGCCAGGAGCCCCAACCACTGGGCATCACTGTCCCCTAAGTCAGGTCCTTAAAGAAAAGTACAATAATACCAGAATGTGCTGGGGAGGGAGTATGATTTGAGAAATTCTCTTTTATGCAACTTTTAAAAAAATCTTTTATGCAGCTTTTTAATGTACTTTGGAATCCTAGGGCAACTAAGGGGATTCAAAGAAAAAGATTTACCAGAGGTCAAGGAAGATGGAGTCTCCTCAGATAGATAAATGGCCTAAAATGCCAAATGTGGGGAGATATTCCCATCTGCTTGAATAAAATGTTCAGCCTTGGCAGGCAGGTTGGGCTTTGGACAGTAAAGGTGGCTCAGGAAATCCTGCAGGCAAACAGGGCAGGTACAGGAACCT